CTAAAGCGCCAACTGAAATGGCATGGGAGGATAGCTCCTACCAAAAGTACCCCTACCTCCAGATGAGGCACCACTAAAACCACAGGAATGACGAGGCCTCTTATCAGACCCCTGCCCTCTCTCATGTGAAAGACCCATCTCAATCCGCCTGGCGACATTAGTAGCCGTCTGAAAAGAAATCTTACCCCCGGTCTCCTTGTCCATCTGTAGCCTAATATGGTGAGTGAGTCCATCAATAAACCTATTCTCTCAGTAGGAAGCAGAAGAAGAGCATGACGGGCTAGATCCACAAAATGGGTCTTGTACTAAATGACTGACATATTGACCTCTGCCCTTCGTAGGAGCTGCCGCTGGGGGCTCCTCTGTTGTTCTATCATTGAGAACAAGAATAGAAGACTTCAATCATCAATGATAGAATAAAATCGCACGCAGAGAAGAATATAAGTGAAATTGTTCCTACACTCCACAGCCTCTAGAAGATAAGTACAGCCGTCTCTGTACCGATCCTCCAGACTCTACTTAGCTTCCTCGTGACTCGTGAGACCTAAGTAACCTAGTGCTCTGATACCAACTTGTCACGACCCAGAATTCCCACCTTCGGGATCGTGATGGCGCCTAACATTTTATTTGCTAGGCAAGCCAATGTTAGAACAATTTATCCATTTTCAACAGTTCAAATTAAATGATAAGAAAGAAACTGAAATAAATGTAATAATCCAAAGTAAAGTGCGGAAAATCATCACAACTGAAATATCCGATACAACCCTAGACTTGGCGTCACAAGTGCACGAGCTACTAGAATAGTACAAATAAAGGCCTAAATAAAACATAAAGTTGTCTGAGGGAAAATACACAGCTAATAAAAAGGAAAGGGGACTCTAGGAGTTGCGGACGCTGAGCAGCTACACCTCAAGTCTCCACAAAACTAACCAACCCAAGCACGCTAATAACCGCCGCTGGGACTAATTCCAAAATCTGCACAAGAAGTTCAGTGTGTAGTACGAGTACAATCGACCCCATGTACTCTGTAAGTGCCGAGCATAACCTCGACGAAGTAAGGACGAGGCTAAGGCGGGTCACCTACACTATAACATGTACGTAGTATATAATAAAGACAGGAAAGCAAATACGGAACGAAATGAGACAATTAACTGAAGCAAAAATAGCTAAATCCTCAAAGAAACCCAGTGACGATCAGGATTACCAATCTTTAGAGTTTCATATGAAAACTACCGTAAAACTAACACAGCTCAAGGAAATAGAAACACATAGATTGTTGCGGCGCGTAACCCGATGCCACCGTACGACACAATCCAGCCTTATTCTACTGTAACAACATCAATAATCATAAATAAATATATGTTGCGGCGCGCAACCCGATCCCACCATATAACAAAATCAGTATAATAATTCACCCTTATTTCACCATATCAATCCACCCTTATTTCACCTGTTGCGGCGTGCAACCCGATCCACCATATCAGTACAAATTCACCCTTATTCCACCATATCAATCCACCCTTTGCAGCGTGCAACTGATCCCACCATACCAGTATCAAATATTCAATGAGTACAATCAAATCAATAACTCAAATCACAAGAACCTCTACGATTGATGATTATGAAGCTGAATCAGAAAAGAAGCCTTGTATCAACTTGGGAACTCACATTTATACTATTACATGGCAAGACAAGTCTAGTAAATAATAATTAAAAGGTGCAAGTAAGTCAATTAAGGCAAATAGCAGCGAGTCATGGAAGCATAGGAAGGTCTAACATTTTTAACACGAGAAACAATGATTGAAAAGTAACAAATAAAGTATGGGAGGTATTTAAAGCACATAACAACAAAGGTAGGAAAAGAGATAATGAAGCGAAAGCGGAAAATCAGGGAAACAAGTAGTTCGGCGGCATATAAGCACGTATTACGAGGGTTCCTAGTTCTCTCTAATCAAGGTTAAACTCAACACTTACCTCGCTCCAAAATTGACTCAAATTCAACCACGGCTTTGCCTTTCGAACAAGCCTCCGAACCAACCAAATTTAGCAAATTAACAATCAAACGATTCAACATAAGTCTTAGGAACTACCCACGAATGAAAGAGATTCAATTTAGGTCATTATTGTAAAAGTCAACAAAAATCAACTCCCGAGTCCGCTTGTCCAAACCCGATTACCCATTCACCCCCGAGCCCGATTATGTAATTTATTTCGAAATCCGTTCTCAATTTAAGGTCTAAATTCAAATTTTGCAAAAATCCCTAATTCTACCCAAATCCCCAATTTCTACCATGGAGGAACAAAAATTAGGCGTAGAAATTAATGGGTGATGTTAGAAATGGAAGAAAATGAGTTAAAGTGTACAAACCTATGAATTGATTTTGAGTTTTCTCTTCAAAATCGCCTCTAGGCCGAGCTATAATGGAAGGTTTATGAAAAATGGGAGAAATCCCATTTTTGAAACATTTAAATCACTGGGCATCAGGCCTTCTTCGTGTTCCCGAAGGGCCTGACGCGATCGCGAAGCAGCAGCTCAATTAGCCTACGCGTTCACGAGATACCCTTCACGTTCACGAAGGCTTACACCCACCTGCCTACGCGTTCCCGAGCCTTGTGTCGTGTTCGCAAAGAGTAATGGTCAGTTCCCAGCCCCCACCTTACAAAGCTACGCGTTCGCGTTGGTGTGGACACGTTCGCGAAGGGCAATCCCCCTACTGCTCCGTGTTCGCGTCCTATTCCTTGCGTTCGCACAGGGTTATTCCCTCCCCAGCCCAAATCACTCTTTGCGAACAGTGAATACCTTCGCGATCTCGAAGAAGGACCACCAGGTGACAACTGAAGCTAAGTAAACCAGATTTTTCTAAGTTCAAACCACCCGTAGCCTATCCGAAACTCACCCGAGCCCACGAGGCTCCTAACCAAATATGCACACAAGTCAAAAAACATAATACGAACTCGCTCGCGCGATCAAAACACCAAAATAATACCTAGAACTATGAATCGGACACCAAATCAAATGAAATTTTCAATGAAGCTTTAGAATTTCCATTTTAACAAGCGGACGTCTGAATCACGTCAAACGAACTCCGTTTCTCACTAAATTTTGCAGAAAAGTTATAAATATAGGAATGGTCTTATACCGAGTTACGGAACCAAAATACGGACCGCGTATCAACACAGTCAAACATTGGTCAAATCCTTAAATTCATCAAACCTTTAAACTTCAAATTTTCGACAAAAAACGATAACTCAAGCTAGGGACCTCTGAATTCAATTTCGGGCATACGCGCAGGTCCCAAATAATGATACGGACCTACCGAGACCGTCAAAATATGGATTTGGGTCCGTTTGCTTAAAACATTGACCGAAGTTAACTTAAATAGATTTTTAAGGCGTAATTTCATATTTAATCAATTTTTAACATAAAAGCCTTCCGGAAAATACCCGGACTGCGCGCGCAAATCGAGGAAGAATGAAATGAGATATTTGAGGTTTCGAAACACAGAATTACGATTTAAAACTCTAGATGACCTATCGGGTCATCACAAATTCCTTATTGTCTTGGATAATGAACAGTTAGATGGAAAGCTAATTACATAAACTGAGACTCCTTAGAATATAATTACTAAAAAACTAAGTGTAAAGTTGTAGGGTTTTAGTAGCAGAATATAATTACCAAAACAAGAGGATTCAAAAATATCAGGTCTAGAATTCTAGTATTATTAGGAACATTGATTTTCATAGAAGATGCATGATTAGAATCTATATAGAGGAAAGAATAGACATTATCAGGCATGAAGTATATGGATAACTTATCATTTAACGGAACAATAGCAAAACAGAATTAAGAAAATATTTTCTATGACTGATAAGATTTTTTTAACTGGTACAATTAATGGCAGGAGTTATTGTGTGTCAATGAGAAATAAAGGATAAGCTCAGATCTTAGAAAAATGACAATAGAGCGAAGACTTTACATGTCCTGATCATTCTTCAAGAAAAGCTCGATCATACCAATTTATTAATGTAAGTTGATAGTGCTCTTTCCTTTTTTTTCCTTTTTTTTTGTCTTTATATTTTAATTTTTTTTATTTTTGTGTTGTTTCATATATGTGTGGAATATTTTAGGACTATGAATAGAAATATATACTTATGTATAAAACTCTTAGGTTTTCGTTTTTCAAATTATATGAAGTTGTCTTGAACAATCCACATTGATCGATTTCCTTTGCTTTTGAAATACTCTTATCACTTGCATCCCTTTTCTCTTTGTATGTGATCTTCTATAGCAGCTATTAGACACGTGTTAGGCCATTGAGAAAATAAAGAACATTTAGTGATGTTAATGTTGTACCATGATTGGCAGACATCTACTTTCCACAATTTTATATCCTCTTCATTACTCTCAACTATTTTCAGCATTCTTCTTCGCTGGCAAGTATGTTATTCATATTATTTATCATTTATAAGCATTATCTTATTCTTTTTACTGATTTTTTGTATTTTATTTCTACATCTGTGGACAAATTGTTGTTCGACATTTGGTCTTATAAATTATCAAATGCTTGGTTATATATTAAGTTGTTGTTGAGAGTATGGATGTATTAACTAGTGGAGTAACTTAACTAGAGTTAGCTTAATACTAGTTGAACTAACTATAGTTAGTAGTTAATTAGTTAGTATAGCTGTATAGTAGTTATGTTAGTATATAGTGGTAGTTAATACTGTACAGATACGGTTAATTGAAAAACGAAGATGAGTTCTCTTCTTCCTCTGTTCTCTCCTACTTCTTAGCTCAAAGCTCATCTTCAAACCACAAATTCACCGATTGATTCTAGGGATTTCGTTGTAGATCGAGAGAATCAATTCGTATCATCTACATTTCGTTCAAATTTCTCTTTGTTCCTTCGATTTCTGACAAAATCAGGAACGAGTCTCCTACAATCAAAACCCTAATTTTGATTTGATAGTGTTTTTGGACGTGATTATCTGCAATATACATGGCAATTGATGATAATTCAGGTAATAACACCATTACAACACCGACTGGACCTGTTCTCGACCACAATCACCCACTTTACTTGCATCCGTCCGATGGACCAGGTTCGTTGTCAATTGGCTTACTGTTAACTGGAATGGAAAATTACACGCTATGGAGTCGAGCTATGAAAGTAGCTCTCTTAGGAAAGAACAAATTGTGTCTGGTTGATGGTACCACCTCAAAAGGTGATTTTGGATCTGGATTAGCTCATCAGTGGGATCGTTGCAATGCCATTGTTACTTCGTGGCTAATGAGCAACGTAAGCTCACACCTTCTTACTAGTGTTTTGTTCTCAGAAAATGCTCAAACAGTTTGGGCACGACTCAAGGAACGTTTTGATAAAGTGAATGCTTCAAGGCTTTACTACTTGCACAAAGAGATTTTCACTTCAACACAGGGGATTTCATCGGTGTCAGTTTATTTCACAAGGCTAACAGATATATGGGTAGAGTATGATGCTATATTACCACCACCACCAGTCAAGGATTATGTTGAACAATTGAATTTTCAGAGATTGTTACAATTTTTGATGGGCTTAAATGATAGTTTTGAACAAGCCAGAAGCCAGATTCTAATGATGCCTAATGTTCCTTCCATTAATCAAGCATATGCAATGATAGTTCAAGATGAAAGTAGGAGAACAATTTCAAGTAGCCAGTTTAATACTCATACAGGGCAAGTAGAGCCTACTGCTATGTTTACTTCACAATAGGAAGTAGGCAAAGGAGAAACTTTGGTGTAGAGTGTGAATTTTGCCACCAGAAGGGACATACAAAGGCAAGCTGTTATAGGTTAATGAAATGTGAAGTCTGTAACAAATCTGGGCATTTGAAGGAGAATTGTTACAAAGTAGTGGGTTACCCCTCTGATTTTAAACCTAAGAGGAGAGCTAATGTAGCAGCACAGATAGAAAACACTGTAGTGCAAGAGGCACACAATGGAGTTCCAACACACATGTTCACAAATGAGCAGTATTCTCAGATTTTGCAGCTGTTAAACAAGAATTTAATTGGTGAATCCAGTGGTACTATTGCAGCTATGGAAGGTACTTTTCTCTACAATAACATTAGTATTCCTAAGTGGATTGTAGATACAGGAGCTACAAACCATATGATAGGAAATAAAGATTTACTACACAATGGAACACAAACAGAAAATGCAGGACAAGTCAAGCTACCAACAGGAGATTCTGCAAAGATCACACACGTAGGAGATTGTCAATTGTCAGGAGGTGACACTATTAAGAATGTCTTATGTGTTCCTACCTTCAAGTTCAATCTATTGTCTGTCTCCAAGGTGACAAAAGATTTGAACTGTTTTGCTTCCTTCTTTCCTACATTCTGTGTATTTCAGGACCTTTGATCTGGGAGGGTGAAGGAGATTGGTAGGGAAGAAGATGGACTATACACTATGATATCAGTGGAGTCACACAAAAGGATGCAATGTCATAGAGCCTTTACAGTGATGAAGCTAGGGGATCCAGATATATGGCACAAGAGAATGGGGCATGTACCTCTACCGGTTATCAGAAAATTATAATGTTTCAGAAACAATTTAGATTTCAATAATGTTCATAGATGTGAGATTGCCCTTTGGCAAGGCAAACCAGACTGCCTTTTCCAATAAAAACAACTAGAAGTGTTGAAGTTTTTCAACTAATTCATATGGATGTTTGGGGACCTTACAAGGTTGCCACATATAATGGGATGAAATTTTTTCTTACATTGGTGGATGACTACACCAGATGGACTTGGGTTTTTTTGATAAGGTTGAAATCTGATGTAATTTTCATCCTTAAAATTTTCTTGCTATGGTTAAAACTCAGTTTGGGAAACCTGTTAAAATGTTCAGATCAGACAATGGGAGTGAGTTCTTTAATAGTCAATGCAGGGAGTTATTTCAGCTGCATGGGATATTACACCAAAGTTCATGCCCTTATACACCCCAACAGAATGGGGTAGTAGAAAGAAGGCATAGACATATTTTGGAGGTTGCAAGAGCTATCAGGTTCCAGGGTCATCTACCAGCTAGGTTTTGGGGAGATTGCATTGAAACAGCTGTTTACATTATTAATAGAGTGCCATCCACTGTGCTTGGAAACAAGTCACCCTTTGAATTGTTGTATCACAGACAACCCTCTTTAGCTCATTTAAGAATCATAGGGTGCCTATGCTTTGCCTCATTATTGCCTAAAACAGACAAGTTTGGACCTAGAGCTGTAAAATGTGTGTTACTGGGGTATGCAGCACTCCAGAAAGGATACAAGCTCCTTGATCTTGAGCACAGTGTATACTTCATCAGTAGAGATGTAACCTTCTTTGAAGATGCTTTTCCTTTCCAGAATCTAGAGGAGGGAATTGACCAATCCTTCTTGGATGATTTGAACATAAGAACACTTTATGATAATAGCACTCCAGATCATGAATCTTATCCACACCCCATTCCAGTTACAGATTCACCTATTGTTCCTGATCCTGAGAATTCCCTAGTACTTATCTCAGCTCCTGAACATTCAGACAGCTCTCCAACAAATTCCTCAACTTCTGTACCTGTTGCAGCTCCAGAATTAAATATACCACTTGCTGAGATTGTCAAAAAATCAAGCAGGACCTCTAAACCTCCCATCTGGCTCAAGGACTATGTAACAGCTGACAAAAGCACACAAAGTAATAGTTGCAGATATCCCATAGCTGCTGTCATTGGCTATGATCAATTGTCACACAAGTATCAAAGTTACCTGTCTCAATTTTCTTCAGAACAGGAGCCCAGCAGTTACTATGAAGCTGCAAAGGATAAAAGGTGGATTGAGGCAATGGAGGCAGAAATTAAGGCTCTTGAAGACAACAAAACTTGGGAGATAGTACCACTAGCTCCTGGGAAGAAAGCTATAGGATGTAGATGGGTTTACAAGATCAAGTACAAGGCAACAGGAGAGGTTGAGAGGTTTAAGGCACGACTTGTAGCCAAGGGCTACAACCAAAAAGAAGGACTGGATTACCAAGAAACATTTTCACCAGTAGTGAAAATAGTAACAGTCAGAAGTGTAATTGCTTTAGCTGCAGCTAAGCATTGGACCATCCATCAAATGGATGTGTACAATGCTTTTCTTCAAGGAGACTTAACTGAAGAAGTATTCATGTCTATCCCACAAGGTTTTGTAGGCTGCAACAACAGGTCACTAGTATGCAAATTGCATAAGTCACTATATGGACTTAAGCAAGCATCTAGACAGTGGAATATCAAGCTCACTGCAGCACTTCTTGCATCAGGTTTTCAACAAAGTTACTTAGACTATTCTTTATTCACCAAGAAGTCCTCAGGGCAACTCATAGTGGTTCTAGTATATGTGGATGATCTCCTCATCACTGGAGACAACTTGGAACTAATACAGGAGACCAAGTCACAACTGCAAGATAAATTCAAGATTAAGGAATTGGGAGAACTGAAGTATTTCCTGGGAATTGAATTTGCTAGAAGTAAGGAAGGGATTTTGATGCATCAAAGGAAATATAGCCTGGAGTTGATTGCTGATCTAGGCCTATCAGGTTCTAAACCTATGGGTTCACCTTTGGAACTGAATACCAAGTTGACCACATTGGAATTTGATACACACACAAACTCTACAGATGATGATTCTCTATTAGAGGATCCAGGACCATACCAAAGATTGCTTGGAAGACTGTTATACTTGACAAATACTAGGCCAGATATTTCATTTGCAGTTCAAACATTAAGCCAGTTTATGCACAGTCCTAAATCCTCCCACATGGATGCTGCTCTCAGGATTGTGAAATATGTCAAAAGCTGTCCTGGTCTAGGAGTGTTGATGAAAGCTGATTGCTCAGGCTCACTAACAGCCTTCTGCGATGCTGATTGGGCAGCATGCCCCAATAGTAGAAGATCCATAACTGGTTATCTAGTGAAGTTTGGCGACTCTCTCATTTCATGGAAGTCTAAGAAGCAGTCCACAGTCTCCAGAAGTTCTGCTGAAGCAGAGTATAGGAGCCTTGCATCCACAGTAGCAGAGATCACTTGGCTCATTGATTTGTTCAAGGAGTTAGGTGTCACTCAGCAAAATCCAGTTCCTATTCACTGTGACAGTAAGTCAGCAATCCAAATTGCTGCCAATCCTGTTTTCCATGAACGGACCAAACACATAGATATTGATTATTATTTTGTGCGTGAGAAGATTCAATCAGGGATGATCAACACTGTTTATGTCCATACTGCAGATCAGCAAGCTGATATACTCACCAAGGGCCTAAGCAAAGTACAGCATAGCTATTTGTTATCCAAGCTAGGGATGAAGAACATCTTCACTTCCTCTAGCTTGAGGGGGGGGTGTTGAGAGTATGGATGTATTAACTAGTGGTGTAACTTAACTAGAGTTAGCCTAATACTAGTTGAACTAACTATAGTTAGTAGTTACTTAGTTAGTACAGCTGTATAGTAGTTATGTTAGTATATAGTGGTAGTTAATACTGTACAGATACGGTTAATTGAAAAACGAAGATGAGTTCTCTTCTTCCTCTGTTCTCTCCTACTTCTTAGCTCAAAGTTCATCTTCAAACCACAAATTCTTCAGTTGTAAAAGCAAGGACATCAACAAAACCATCAAATAAAAAGTGTACATTAAGTTGATTACCACATTTCTCTTAGCTCATTTCCTGTTGTGTTTGCCGAAAATATTTATTTTTTATGGAGTCTAATATGTATCTTTATATTTTACATATGTCACTCTAAGGCTTCACCCTGCACTGACAAATTATGTAACAAAAAACTGTTATATGTATCTTCATGCTCACATTTTGAAGGAGTGCGAACGAGGTTAAAGGAGAAAAGTACTTTAGGTTTGCTATTGACCTCTTGGTTTAGTTGAGAGAATTTGCATGAGGAAGAAATATTAATAGGGCAGACCTAATCAATATAAAAGTTTGACTTTAAACGTCAAAGTTGATTCCATTGGTTAGTTAGATGTGATAAGCTATTGAAATATTCAATAATAAGATTTGTCAATAAAGACCTCTCAATCATATTAAAGTTACTTTTGGGTGATTAATTGTCGCCCAAGCACTTGATAAACATTAAGTCCCTCTTTCATCCTTTATTTTTCTTTTGTCTTATTATTTCTTTCCCTCGCTTTATTTGGGTTTCAGGAGCACTGCGGCAGGCAGAAGTGAGCAGTAAGTTTATGAGGTCAAGAGTGTTTGATATCTTCCCTTCTCTTATGTCTATGTACAATAACATATTTTGATATAAGTGGTTGAGGATAGAATTAATTTTTTCTTTCTATGTAATTGTGTGAGCTTAACTTTATTCATGATCCAATGATAAACCCATCCTCCACTCTAACGTACCTAAAATTTGGAAGATACATCTACACCGTATGTAACAATTCGGCCGCTCATTTTGTGTATTTTAGCCTCGTATCTCCTATTTTGATACTTTAAAAATGTGTATTTATCATTATGTGACTTGTGAGGATGTTTGGTTTGGCCCCGGACAGATTTTGGATTGAATTGGGACACTTAGTTCCATGGTTGGAGACTTAAATTGTGAGGGTTGGTCGGAGTTTGAATTTTGTATAGACGTTCCCTGAATTTTGATGGCTTTGATAGGTTCTATGGTAATTTGGGACTTAGGCGTATGTCTAGATTTGGATTTGGAGGTTCCTAGATTGACTTGGATCTAATTGTTGAAGTTTGAAAGTTG